CACACACACACACACACACACACACACACACACACACACAGGTCTGATGGAGCGCTCACATGATGAGCTGTACTGCGCTGATGCTCTATTGTGTGTCTTCATGTAGGAATAACACACAGAGCGCTGGAGGATGACACACACAGGCTGCAGGAGATTGATGGCCTCTATTGTTGACGGGCTCTTCTTCACCATGTGTGTAATCGCTTCTTGATATTATTACAAATGAGGAATTACTGCTGTCCATTAGCCCAGGGCAATAAGCCTGACCGGACGCGCCAGTGAAACACATAAAGAGAAGCGCTACTGATGGATGCTGAAAGGGTTAGTTCACCCACAAATGAATATTGCTCATAATCAATCCTCTGCCAGCTTCGTTCATCCTCAGAACACTAATGAAGATATTGCAGATGAAATGCGAGAGCTCTAGAAATTTCAGAATTTATTGTTATGATATTTTTGTCATTTTAGGACACGTATTACACTCAAAAATAACTCATTGTATTAGCTTAACTTAATTGAAGGCAGGAATTCCATCAAAAAATTTGTTAAGCACCAACTAAAAACACTCGATTTACACAATTAAATGCAGTTGAGTTAATCCAACATGAGTTTATCAAATAAAAGGAAAACACATTTGTATTTTTAAAGCCTGATAACATCATGTTTGATCATATTATGTATGTCTATTAATAATAATAATAATAGGCTGTTATGTGTTGAGGTTGCCACAGTGGCTCAGTGGTTAGCACTGTCCCTTCACAGCAAGAAGGTCGCTGGTTTGAGCCTCGGCTGGGTCAGTTGGTGTTTCTGTGTGGAGTTTGCATGTTCTCCCCGTGTTGGTGTGGGTTTCCTCTGGGTGCTCCGGTTTCCCCCACAGTCTAAACACATGCGCTATAGGGGAACTGATCAACTAAATTGTAGTGTATTAGTGTGTATGGTTGTTTCCCAGTACTGGGTTGCAGCTGGAAGGGCATCTGCTGCATAAAAAATATTCTGGATAAGTTATTCCCAAAAGTGAGTGCTGGCTAACAGGTCAGACTCTAACAAGTCTTAAGGTCTTTGCACAATGAAGTCTGAAATTTTCTCATGCGTTTTTTTCATATTCATATGTGAAAAATAAACAAACCCTGCACATGTCCGAGTTCGATGCATATTAATCAATAAATAAAAATAAAAAAAGCTAAACATTTTGGACTCAGTTTAAGCAGAGATGCTGTTCTCCTCTCTCATCCCTAAAGTGGAAAAAGCCAGAGGAATAGGCTACCTACTGTTTTCATCCAATACCAGCCTACAGAGAGGAAGGAGAGATCTCCCTATTAAAGAGCTGTGCTGGATTATTCTCAAATGCAGAGTTTATTTCTGGAAATCAGTGGAGTTTTAATCCATTGCTTGTGATTGTTCACACGTTTATGTTTGTAAACAAATCCTGAACAGAGACTGGCAGTACCTAGACATTATAATAGATGATGGCCACTTTGACGTATCAGAGCAATGGACTAAAGCGGACCATGAGGCCATTATGTCTGAATGTATGGACACACACACACACACACCAAACAGCAGCAGGGGAGAGGTGTGACAGTGACAGAATCCATCATGGTTTCTCAACTGTCCGCCACATTCTGTCTTATATTATGCACTGTTTTTCATAAAGTTATCTGTAGCTCAAATGACGACATTTTGTGTTTTGCTGTCTGCTTGCACGGTGGCTCTGAACTGTCAAAACACCTCTCAAATGCTTTTCTGGATGCAAAAAATATAAAAAACAAAACAAAACAAAAAAACATACCCGATTTAATAAAAAAAATATATATATACATATACATTTTTTTCTATTTATTATAATTTAAAAAAAAGTTATGTATTTTTTTTATAATGGACAAAGGTTTCAGAGGCTGTGTGTCAGTACGATTGACACAATGTGAGGTCAAATTTATTTTTTAATGTGCAAAAATTATGGACCAAAATTTCAGAATTAGTGTGCAATAACCTTTTAACACCTAAGATTACTTTTAATGTCAACATTTCTTTCTCTTAATTCAGTCCCAAGCAAAGCATGCTGGAAGCTACAAATCCCCTAACCAGGTAGTTGGACCAACTCAGTTCCTTTGTGTTGTCCCAGCAGAAAACGCTTAAGTTAACTATAATGGTGTACAAATTTAAGCGGACTGAATGGTAAACAAATCATCAGCAGTCCTCATTTATTTGAGTGTATATAATGCCAGAATGACAATATAATAGCAAGTACGCTCTTTCAAAGAACACACCATACTTTATTCTTACAAATATTTAATATCTCCAGCCTCTGAATTAACTGTATTGTTTATTATCAGACTTGATG